TAACTGATACCAGTCATTCTACTTGTCATGATTACACTTTGATTTCCCCAATTAAACATTTGTTCAGAGAAGTCAAGTCTGTAAGACTGTGGATTTGACCTAAGAGATTAAGCACAGCTGTTGTTCTCCATAAAATTTTTCTAGTTGCTATTACACTTCTGTTTGATTAAAAAGCCCCCCTATTATTCTCTTCCTCAAGCTTCTCAAGCAAATAACCTAAAATTAATTATAACCATATCATTGATAGTAATATCCATTCTTTGGTTCTCAGTTGATAAAATTACTTTAATTCAATTATTTGCCTTCCATTTTATTCTTTCATTCATCAGCAGTCCTAGTAATTTTTTGCCTTTTATGTCTTCATGAAACAAGCTCAAAGGACCCATGAGGAATGCATTCATACTCCGACACAATCCCATTTCTCTCCGACAATTCAATTACAGATCTTTTCAGGTTTCCTGTTTTTGATCCTTCTTTCTCTAGTATATTCTTATCTAAGCCCAGGAGAGCCAGACAGCTACACCCTTGAAGTTCCCCTTCACATGCTGTCACACGTTAGAATTTGTCTTCATTGCCTAAGCATTCTTGCACTCAATTTCTGACAATCTAGACAGACTGCCTCATATTCCCCATTCTCCTCCTCTCAGCTCACCTACCCTGAGTTTCCCAGCAGTGAAGTCTGATATTCTGACCACTCAGCCAGTGCCTGTCCTGAAGTCTGGTAGCTGACGGCCACACTGACGTGGATGGAGGCCAAGGATCAAACAATCCTTCATCGCAGATGGACACATAGCCTCAGCCTGCTGGGTCCTCATTGTTTTCATCCTAATTCCTCTTCCAACCTTTCTAAACAACAAAAATACCTAGACAAAGAGCCCTCATGGCATAGCAAACACTTAGGTCTTGTAAACGGAAGAACGGAGATTCAGTCTTGCCATAACAACAAAGAAAGAAGGAACAATCACTATTGGAACCCGGAGCTTAAACCAGTCCTGATTTTTGTTCTTGAGATTTATATTTCTTTCTTTTTAAAAAGCATTCTTTTGTACTTATGTTTTATTTTCATCTATCTATCTATCTATCTATCTATCTATCTATCTATCTATCTATCATCTATTTTTTGAGACCTAGTTTCTCTGTGTAGCTCTGGCTGTCCTGGAACTCACTCTGTAGACCAAGTTGGCCTCAAACTTACAGAGATCTGCCTGCCTCTGCCTCCTGAGTGCTGAGATTAAAGACATGTGCCACCACTGCCTGCATTGTTTTAAAAATTTTTGTTTTAATTTTTATTTTATGGATGTTTTGCCTACATGTATGTCTGCACCATGTGCTATGTGTGTAGTGCCTGCAAAGGCCAGAAATGGTGCATCAAATCTCTTAGAACTGGAGTCAGTTGTGAGCTGCTATGTGGGTGCTGGGGATTGAACCTGGGTCCTCTGGAAGAGCAGCCAGTGCTCTTTACCACTGAGCCATCTCTTTAGCCCCATATTTTTATTTCTCAAGTGCAATGTCAGTATCTAAATTTTCCCCTAAATTTTATTAACATACATATATGATGCTAATTACATATTATTTATGTTACATCACACATTGTACATACATGCATGTAAACATGCATCAAGTGCATGACCCTATGCAAATAAACAAGTACAGTAAACTATAGCACATGAAACATTAATGTATTAATCTTCAAAAATTACTTACAACATGAATATCCTTTTTCAAATTAAACCTTTGATTTTTACACATTACATATTAGTCATCCACACATGGCACATTAAGTAAAATCTATCATTGTCAATATGAATGGCATCTTTCAAATTTATCTCTTGATTTTGTCTCTAGAAGCCATTTCTGTCTTGGAAATTCTTTCATGCCATTCCAAGCCCCTACCACCTAGCTAACACTTGGGGGTTTCTGATACGAGACTGTAGCTCACACCTAATTCTTGCTCAGAGCCATGACACCAAGATGGCTTGCTTATTCCTCTTAAGACTCATCACCTCACACTGAGTGTTGTTTGTTTTTAGGACGTGACTCAGCATGATACAGACAGTTATCAGATAGCTGGGCCTTTAATATTGTTTTCACATACAAATCAGGAGGTGCTAATTTTCCACATTTGTTGGACGTGATAAACATGAACTCACATTTAGGGATAGGCCAGTGCAGGTGTGTACACCTGCCTCTGCATATATACATCCCATGGCTAGGCAGGCAACCACACCCCATTACCTCCTCTTCCACTTCAACTCTTCGTCTCTAGTAAAGTCAGATCACACAGAAACCTACCTCTTGCCTGCCCCCAACAGTCTACACACAGAGTTTAATCCTGACAAGCTGTAACTAGCTGGCCTCTCAGTTAGATGACTGTGTTTGTTGTCTGTTTCAGACAGGCCTCCTGAGCTAAAATGTCTTCTTTTCGTCTTCTTTTCTTTATAAGGTGCTGAAGTATGCTCCCAATGCTGAGCACAGCACTCCAGCCCAGCAGGGTTCTGCAACAGAAAAGCTTTTTGATTTCAATCCCCAACACAACTACCCATTCAATATTTGTTCATGTAGCTTAATTTCAAAAACAAAGGCCTGCGAATGCTTAGCTGGGTCATTCAACCTCATAAGCATTAAAGGTTTAGGTCCTTTATTAAATTTTGGTAAACTTAGACTCGCAAGTATTCTCACTCTGTGAAGAATATCCTCTAGATCATAATTATTGTTTTTAATGTCATTACATATTTTTTTATTTAATGTGGGAGTTGTGCATGGTATGATGGGCTCACGTGGATCAGAGGACAACTTGTAGAAGTTGGTTCTCTCTTTCCACCATGTGGTTCTGGGGTATCAAATATGGGTTATCAGGCTTGGGGGAAAGTGCCTTTACCTGCTGAGCTATCAGCAGCCCCTGGCTCGTAATTCTTTTTATAAATTTATGCATATTGACTTGTAGCTAGAGTTTTCCTGCCTGGCCCACAGTCAGGACAAATCTCTCTCACCTGCCAGTCCCACAGCCGCTCAGACCCGACCAAGTAAACACAGAGACTTATATTGCTTACAAACTGTATGGCCGTGGCAGGCTTCTTGCTAACTGTTCTTACAGCTTAAATTAATCCATTTCTATAAATTTATACCTTGCCACATGGCTCGTGGCTTACTGGCATCTTCACATGCTGTTTGTCATTGTGGCGGCTGGCAGTGTCTCTGACTCAGCCTTCCACTTCCCAGCTTTATTCTCCTCCTTGTCCTGCCTATACTTCCTGCCTGGCCACTGGCCAATCAGTGATTTATTTATTGACCAATCAGCAACACACTTGACATACAGACCATCCCACAGCACTTCCCCTTTTCTTTTTTTTTTCAAAAAGGAAGGTTTTAACCTTAACAAAGTAAAATTACATATAATTTGGGAATTTGGGCATAGCTTCTCTTACTACTTCCTGCTGGAGGGGGGCGCTGTATCTTCTGGGGAAACAAAGAAAATTTTAGGATTATGGAGTAGTCCGTGAGGCTGTATTGTCTGAACCAGTTGCCTTGAGATGGTTCTGGATGTTGAATCATCTGGGCCTTGGTGTCATCAGAGACCTTTCAGGGGGTCTTGGCTGGTCAAACCTGATGTATCTTAATCTGGAACAAATCCATAGCCTTTGGCTTTCTGTGGGAACAAAAGCAGAGTCTCCTTTCCAAAGCAACACATTCTTACATCCAAATTTTGAAGTCAAGGTATCTTTAAAATATACATATTGGTTAAACTCAACAGCTTTTACAATCAAATGTTTTTCTGCAGTTAAAAATTCCAAAGACAGCACAATCCAGATTCTCTGTGTAATACTCATCTTTACGTGGCTTATTTTTTATATTAATTTTACTGTCTCTTTAAAGACTTTATTTTTTAAAACTATGTATTTGTTTATATAACTGTATATATCACCTTTTTTTGTCTCTTTCAAGCCTACGTATATTTTACACACATTGTAAACTATTACATCTGAATCTGTCTTATTGTGAATCTATTGCTTTAAACTGCAGCAGCTGTGGCTGCTGGCTCCGCCCACCTCAGCTTCCCAACATGGCGGTGGTAGTTTACCGCCAGCTCTGGGAGCTATCGTGGGTCTATGCTTTTATCCAAGCATTGTGTAGCCCAGAAACCTCTTTTTTTTTTTTTTGTATTAGCAAAGGCTAAATCCACCATGCAGCTTAATGTGCCACTTGCAGAGGCCTCATTCCCGCCATACTGCAGATGGACCATGCACGCTAGGAACCCACCAGTTGCTCAAACCGGCAGCTGCCACTCATTTGAGAGAGACAATTAGGAAGCTGTTTTTAGCTCTGTTTTAGAATCTTTTCTCAGGTTTTAGGTGGAAACTCTTGCCACCACGTTGGACGCCATTTGTATTGCATTTGACATACAGACCATCCCACAGCATTGGCTCCTTTCTCTACTTCTTCCGTGTGTGTTCATGCACGTTGGAGTTGAAGTCAAAGGAAAACCTGAGGGTATGGATTCTCTCCTTCCATCACATGGGTCCTGGGGATGGAGTTCAGGTCCTCAGGCTGAGTGGCAAACACCTCTGTCTGCTGAGTCATCTTGAGGGTTCTGCATCACGATTCTTAAGGGATCAGAGGTGCAGGCATCAGTCTTTCTAACACATACCTCAAAATGCTTTGCCACAGCCCAGGGTACAACAGTGATAAAAATCAAGCCATATGCTCCAGCAAGATTGTGGAGTCACACTTGACCTATGGAACGGTTCTGAAGCGGGGAGTATGGAATTGAGAAATGATAGCTATGAAATACAAACGTAGATGAAGAAAAAGGCAGAGACACAGGATAGCTTCAGGAGGGCTCTGGGTCAATACCACAGACGCCTGTGTTTTTCACTCACCACTTTTATATACCCAAAGCAAGGGGGATAAAAAGGCCTCCCCCTTTGAAGGACATCATGGTTCAAGGTACAAAGTACAATTAAGTATAAACACCTCCTTAGTACTTACAAGATCTGGTAACCATGCTTTATGGCAAAACAGCCTATTATGCAGCCTTGGTGAGGTGGGGAACAAGCTTGACTCCCTGACCTTGAGTCAAGATGAAAACAAGCCACAAGCCGGGTCTCTGTGGGTCCCACACAAGATGGCTCAGCTGGAAAGGGTGTTTGCTGTGGGGCCTGACTGATGCCCAGAACTACACAAGATGGAAGGAGGGAACCAAGCCAGAGCGGTCCTCCACATGTCCACCACACATGTGTATGTGTGTGCGTACATGCACTCAGATATAATAATACCTCTTTAATTAAAAAAAAAACAGTATTTATAGTTGGTAAGTGCCATTCCAGTCACTACAGACACTTGACTAACCCTGATGAATAACGCTTCTGCTCCCCATAACTCACTGTAAAGTATGTTTAAGAACAAATTTAAACTGAGCAGTGGTAGTGCACGCCTTTAATCCCAGCACTTGGGAGGCAGAAGAAGTAAATCTCTGTGAGACTGAGGCCAGCCTGGTCTACAGAGGGAGTTCCAGGACAGCCAAGGCTGTTACAAAGAGAAACTCTATCTCAAGAAGCCCCCCCCCCCCCCCCCCCCCCCCGCCAAAGAGAATTAAATAAGATTAAAATTCAATTAAGCTGTAAAAAAAATAATAAAAGTAATTAAAGATAGTATGAATATACAACAACTCAGACCCAAACGGGGATTAGCTATCCCACTGTGCATAGAAAATTATAAAGCAAAATTATGCACAGAACACTGCCAGCTACTGTTGGAAACACAAAAGACCGGGTGGTGGTGCTTCAGACCCTCCAACAGGAGTCTGTTCTGTGTTGATAAACCCAGTCTGCCTCGCCATCCCCGCACACTCGGCCTGTACGTGCCAACCTCAGCCCGTCCTCGCCATCCCCGCACACTCGGCCTGTACGTGCCAACCTCAGCCCGTCCTCGCCATCCCCGCACACTCGGCCTGTACGTGCCAACCTCAGCCCGTCCTCGCCATCCCCGCACACTCGGCCTGTACGTGCCAACCTCAGCCCCATCCTCCTCGCCATCCCCGCACACTCGGCCTGTACGTGCCAACCTCAGCCCGTCCTCGCCATCCCCGCACACTCGGCCTGTACGTGCCAACCTCAGCCCGTCCTCACTATCCCCGCACACTCGGCCTGTACGTGCCAACCTCAGCCCCATCCTCCTCGCCATCCCCGCACACTCGGCCTGTACGTGCCAACCTCAGCCCCATCCTCCTCGCCATCCCCGCACACTCGGCCTGTACGTGCCAACCTCAGCCCGTCCTCACCATCCCCGCACACTCGGCCTGTACGTGCCAACCTCAGCCCGTCCTCGCCATCCCCGCACACTCGGCCTGTACGTGCCAACCTCAGCCCCATCCTCCTCGCCATCCCCGCACACTCGGCCTGTACGTGCCAACCTCAGCCCCATCCTCCTCGCCATCCCCGCACACTCGGCCTGTACGTGCCAACCTCAGCCCGTCCTCGCCATCCCCGCACACTCGGCCTGTACGTGCCAACCTCAGCCCCATCCTCCTCGCCATCCCCGCACACTCGGCCTGTATAGCCAACCTTCTCCCACCCTAACAAGGGCAGAGAGTAAATCTAAGTCTAAATTTTAAAACATCAGGTGAAGGTATGCCCAAGGGATTGGAAATCTTGAGCTAGATCTTTCCTTTGTTTTTAAAAACCTTACATTTATTCTGGGGTTTGGAGGGAGCTTACACCACAGCTTATGTGCAGAGGTCAGAGAACAACTTATGAGAGTCAGTTCTCTTCTCCTAGCATGTGGTCCTGGAGACTGAACTCAGTCGCCATGCTTTAATGCACTGAGTCATCTCACCAGCCCCAGATCTTCTTACTGAAGAATATTCATGGTGACGCTTATGAAACTTAAGAGTAAATGGATTTACTAGTAAATTAAGAAGAGATGTTAATTGAATTGGGCAGTACAGCAGCACACGTCACCATGACCTCCTCAAGCATTTTTACACAAATCACAGCTAGCAGTTAATAGCCACATATGGCAGGACAGGATCCCTGAGAAGGAACCCAGATGCCCTTTGGCAGGTAAAGGCTAAACTAAGTGTTTTTCCAAGTCAAAAAGACATCCAAAGGTTGTTTCCTGTGTTGTTCTGTTTAATAACATTCTATTTTTTTTTGGTAATATATAAATTCTTGAAATAAAATTAACGAAAACAGATTCATGGAATTGGGAAGATGGCCCAGTGAGTAAGAGTTTAGATGCCCAGCACCCATGTAAGTGGCCAGGCATGGCTATGGGAGCCTGTAACCCCAGCGTCGGGGCCAGAGAAGAGTGGACCCTGAGAGCCTGCCGGCCTGCCGCCAGTCCAGCCGAATGGTGAGCTCGGGTTCAGCGAGGGGCTCTGTGTCAACGCACTCAGGTCGAGAGAGCGGGCCAGGAAACCTAACGGCCTACTCTGCAGTACCACATGGGTCCATCTGCACACTCATTTTCATCACACACACACACACACACACACACACACACACACACACACACACACGAGAACAACAACACATCTCCCCTAAAACCAACAACCAAACTAATGGCTATAATAGGTAAAGAGGCGGCTGGAGCAGGATGGAAATGGGCGTGACCGTGAAAGTGCAGTGTGAGGGTCCTGCTGGTGGTGACGCTGTTCTGTGTGGACTAGCAGTATCAGTATTTTGTTTGTGATATTGTTCTACAGATTTTTGTTTCGTTTTACAATTCTGGAGAGTGAACCCAGGGCCACGTGCATGCTGACCACGTGCACACCCCTAGACCCACAATTTGATAATTTCCTAGTTCTCCAAGCCAACAGGAAGGGCTTGCCCAGGCTAGACCCCTGTGGGTGCTGCGGCCCTCCCCGCCCCTGGCCCTCTGCTCAGCCCTTTAGCCCTGACAGCTGACCTGGTGCCTTCTTTGGGACAGCTCTTACGTGAGGCTGCGCAGGTCCAGTGGAAGCCCCAGCAGCAGTTTCCAGGAAGAACAGATCTAGAGCCACGGCCCTTCTGCGATGTGCTCAGCCTCACGCAACCCAGCTGTCTGCATGCTGGCCTCACAAAACTCCCGTTTCCTGTCAAAATAACAGGAAAAGAAGTAGTAAAAGATGTGTTTCCTGCCAACCGTTTGGGACAATGAGAGAAAAAGAGGAACTATAAAATTTGAACACTGTAACCATTGTGTACCCAGGTGCCTTTCCTCAGAGGATGAGAATGGGAGGCTTAGTCACAGGGCCTGAGACAGTCATACACAGAAGCTGCCTTGACTGGGGGCTAAGAAGACAGACAGACAGACAGACCCCGGGTCAGCTTGTGAGTAGGCCGGGTTTTTTATCTCCCAGTAAAGCTAAGGTTACACTTGCCCTCCTCCTCTCCCCTCCCCTCCCCTCCCCTCCCCTCCCCTCCCCTCCCCTCTTCTCCCCTCCTCTCCCCTCCTCTCCCCTCCTCTCCCCTCCCCTCCCCTCCCCTCCCCTTCCCTCTTTTCCTCTCCTCTTCCTTACCTCCTCTTTTTCTTTCCCATGTGGCTCAGGATACTCTCACACTCACCATGTAGTCCAGGGTGTCCTTAAAATCCTGATCCTCCTGTCTCAGCCTCCTCAGCCTCCTGAGTGCTGAGAAGACAGGTATTTGTCACGATGCCTGGCTTAATACTAAATTTTCTGAAAAGTTAGAGGCAGCCCTGACTCCTTCTGCTGACCTTGGAAGCTCCCTGGGTCTCCAGGGACCAAGCGTGACTGTGGAAAGTTAATAAATGCATAGGGTGGCATCTGTAGTTAAAGGAGTCTTTTGCCACACTGTGGGACAGAAACCACTTTGATGACATTCTTCTGACGACAGACATCTGTTTGCTGTCACAGCACCCCCAGCCCCTGCCTTCTGACTCCTTGATGGGCTCCCTCATAGCACCCAATGGACCTTCCAACTCTTAGCTCCCCACACCTGCAAAGAGCATTTTTAGAAATAAGGAGAAAAGAGAAAGTGAAAGATAAAGAGAATGGATTTTATAGGTTTTGTTCAAAGCAACATAGTCATGATAAAGATTCAAGTGATACAGAAATGTATATAACAAAGTTGAAAAACCCTTCACCGCAAATCCCCTTGCCCCTAGGTAACCGTCGTCAACATTTGAAGCAGGACTTGAGACTCCATGGATGGGACAACAGGTACAATTTTATAAAACTAGGGTAGTTCTGCATGCTGTCCTCCATGAAAAACATTAATTTTTACTTGAATAGAAAAGAAGAAAAAAAACAAAGCAAAATTCAGAATCACTAAATTGGTTGCCTCTTTTGCACAAGATATAATCATTCTTTAGAGATGAATTATTCTAGAATTAAGAACAATGACAACCAAAAATCCATTAGGAGATTGAATTTGCTATTTTTTTCCAAGTCAGTTTCAATTTAAAGCTATTATCCACATTGGCACTTGTCAAAGCACCCCGCCACTTTTATTAGACCGCTGCTAATGCTGGCCTCCTTTCTGTTACTTCTCTAATTGTGCTTCTTGCTGCTGTGCTCAGCTCCATCTTTAATGGGCTTGGAACTCACTGTATCTCTGTTATTTCAGAATTATGGATTGAATTGTGTCTTTCTCCAGAGGGGAGGGAAAATGGTATGTTGGTGTTCTCAAAATAGGACTTAGTTGGAAATAAGGTCTTTAAAGTGGTAGTCAAGTTAAAATGAGGCATTAGAGCGGGCCTTAATCTAAATGATATCATCCTAGAAAGCGAACATTTGACAGAAACATGTACATAAACATGACCTGTGAAGAGCCAGGGAGAGTGCAGTCTGAAAGCTGGGGATACACTGCTGTGGTTGATGGGAATCTGGGCCACAGGAAGTTGGAAGGGCAAAGGATCCTTCCCTAGAGTCTTCAAAGGGACCACAGCCCTACCAACACCCTGATTTCATACTTCTAGTTGTTGTGAGCATTGTGACTTGATATGAAATGCTCTTCTGGGTCTTGTGTTCTGAACACTCATTCCCTGGCTGGTGATACTATTTTGGAAGACTGTGGAGCCACAGGAGGTAGGGCTTGGTTGATGGGAGTGGTCACTAGCACTGGGCTTTTGAGGGATATAGACCAGCTCTGGTTCTGCTTCTGCTTCCAGCTTTGCTATAATATGATGTGATCCCACCACATGTGACAGCTGCCATGGATTCTGCTGTGCTTCTCCACTATGATGGACCCTCTGAAATCGTAGGGCCAAATAAAGGTTGCCTCCCATACATTCTTCATGTCAGGTGTTTTGTTACACACACACACACACACACACACACACACACACACACACACACACACCTAAAACTGAAAAACTGGCCATGTGGTCCTTTGACCTGTGGAAATGGTTTGTTGGAAGAATGTGGAAGAGTTTGGAACAGAGGCTAGAAAAGCCTACAGTGCTGTAAGAGCTAACTGGTTGATCGTGAACACATGAAGAACATTGGTGCTATGACTCCCTCATGGTTGGAGCAAATGAGTTTGTATAATGAGATGGCCATGGACTCTGAGGCCATCGATGGAATGCTACAGGTGGAACCTGAAATATTCTCCACAGGCTCACGTTTTGAATGCTTGGTCTCAAGCTGCTGGAGGCTTTTTTGGGGGAAGCAGAGACAGGTCTCTAGGGGTGGGCTTTCATTCTCTCCTTCATGGTTGACTGTGACATGAGAAGCCTCAGCTACACACTTCTGCTGCTGAAGACTCCACCATGTCCTTCTCACTGTGAGTGACTTAGACTCTCTGAAACTGTGAGCCCAAAGAAATCTTTCCTCCTATGCATCATTTCTGTCAGGTATTATTGGCACGGCAAAGCCAAACTCACTTCCACACAAGGCAGCCAAGCCACAGTACTTTGTTATGGAAGCACTAGAAACCCAAAGTTTTCCCTTTGGATTTACTCTGAGTCAACTTTGGTTTGGGTAGATTTCACTCACAAGCGGAACTTAGTCTTATCCCTGAGGTCTCACACGTCTGCGCTTGTCTCTATTATTTCTGTACTTGAAGAACGGCCTTTAGTCATGCTTCCTTTCCCTCAGGACTTTTGGATGTCGATCTTCTGTCTTGATTTTCTCTCTGTATCTGTTTTTCTACCCAGAGGTATGAATATTCATGTGAGATTTTCCTTATCTTTAGCATTTTATAACTTCAGTAGGAATATATTGGTGTTGAATTACTTAAGCAGATTTTCTTGAAATCAATACACTTTTTTGATCATCAGATTCAATTTATCCTTATGTCAAAGTTCTCTCATGTTTATTCTTTAAATTACATTCTATTCCTTTAGTTCGCCTCCACATGTGGCCACTCTTCAGAAATGCTGGGGCCCTGGCTTTTCTTGGCTTCCTCTAACAGTGGTGTTCTCTAGGCTCATCAGTGAGTCTTGGGACTATTGCTCATTTCTTGTATGATTTCCTGGTCTGCTGTCCATGTGCTGAGTTAGGGTTATTTGTATCCTGTGTTCAGCTGCTTCTCATGTAGATTCCAGCCCTGCATGGATGGCTTTTCTGGTTTTATCCCAGCTTGCTTTCCACTCTCTTCTGCCCTCTGACAACT